AACACACCGGAGTTTCCGTAGTCATCGACAGTTATCTACGGAAGGATGCCGCTCTGAACCGTTTTGTAGAAATTGGCAATAGATTGTGCTGATAAGCTGATGAGGGAGGTATGTAAAAGAACCTCGAAGAATCAGCTTGACCTGGCGTGAAAAACCGGTCTCGACCGGCCGTCTCATTTAGTCATATGTAAGATATGGTTACCCGAGAAGCTCATTATGTTACAGCGTGTCTATCACATAACGAACACCACTTTCATCCACACAAAAAAGAATCGGCGAACTCATCTAATCACAGCGCGATAGCCCCTCCTCCACCCACAAGCAAAGCCCGAGTCCAACAAGTCACAAATCAGTACCAGCACTTGGCAATGCAATGACACACACAATTTAGGCTCAACTCAGTACCACCAACTTGTCAGAAAGCACGCGACCATCACATAACTCAGCTTACGTCCGACAGCACAGCGGCCCATTATTTCCAATGGTTCAGTATATTTGCCGTCCGCCGTCGTGATGCCCGACAACGGGCGATCCGCGCAAAGAGAAGTCCCACACTCGTAGGACCAAACATACCGACCTGTTATGGGCCTAGACTTAGGTGGAAGGCGGACTTTTCGTGGTTGTTATTGAGAGAGAGAGAGAGAGAGAGAGAGAGAGAGAGAGAGAGAGAGAGAGAGAGAGAGAGAGAGAGAGAGAGAGAGAGAGAGGAGAGAGAGAGAGAGAGAGAGAGAGAGAGAGAGGAGAGAGAGGAGAGAGAGAGAGAGAGAGAGAGAGAGAGAAGGAAGAGAAGAGAGAGAGATAGAGAGAGAGAAGAGAGAGAGAGAGAGGAGAGAGAGAGAGAAGAGAGAAGAGAGAGAGAGAGAGAGAGAGAGAGAGAGAGAGAGAGAGAGATAGAGAGAGAGAGAGAGAGAGAGAGAGAGAGAGAGAGAGAGAGAGAGAGAGAGAGAAGGAGAGAGAGAGAGAGAGAGAGGAGAGAGAGAGAGAGAGAGAGAGAGAGAGAGAGAGAGAGAGAGAGAGGAGAGAGAGAGAGGAGAGAGAGAGAGAGAGAGAGAGAGAGAGAGAGGAGAGAGAGAGAGAGAGAGAGAGAGAGAGAGAGAGAGAGAGAGAGAGAGAGAGAGAGAGAGAGAGAAGAAGGATGTGGATTGAGAAACAGACGGTGAGAGAGGAAAAACATCGGAAAGCGTGGCCATTCCAGCTCAGATCCTGGAGAATCGGTATCACTTCAGCACGCTCTGATCTGTGAAATAGAGGAATTCTTCAAATGTTGAATCTTTCCGTGAATTTCTCAAGCATGAAATAAAACGGATCTGTAGCCTTGATAGCGAGCTATGTAGGACCTATCAAAATTCTCCACCACGTCTGACATATTGGGATAATAGTTTGAAAATACAGAGCCGCAGTCCTGATGGTGTGCCATAGATTATCGAAAGGGTTCGGAAATTGTTATTGCCTTCGATTTGTTTGGTGTTGCCATTCGCTGTCGACGCCGGCCACCTCGCCTTGGCGGGCGGCGAGCGCGTTTCGTCCAGTGGGAGCGTGGCTGTGACTGCGGCAGCGGCGCCGGCCAGCAGACGCGCTCATAAGAGCTGGTGGATTGCGCGCAGTGACTGCCACCAGGCCCCCCGTACGACTGGCTCCACCGTGCCTTGATCTGGTGCTCCCTCACGCCTTTTCCCGCCGTCTAAGTGGGTGCACATATGCTCTTTCACTTAGCGGCAAGATAAATGGGCGCGGCCACAATGCGCGCGGCGGCGACGTGACCAGGCTGGCGAGAGGCCGCCGCGCGAGCGGCCGGCGCGCCGCCTGCGCCCGCTCCCACCGGCCGCCAACAGAGGTGTCGCAATTTTTCAATCCGATGACATGAAACAGCTGTACATCACGCCCGATATTGGCACCCCAATGATCTATACATGCCGAGAGGGCTTCATAAATTACCGGCCGATGGACGCGCGCGAGTCGGGTAAACCGATTCTGTTGAGCACGGGTTTGTGAGGGGTCCGATCGTCTCAGGAATTGCACTGCGGATTTGGACTTGGTTTCGTCACGCACAAGACTATTTGGCGACCCGGGACTGCGACTCGACTGTTAAATGTAGCCTTGATCAGCAGCGGGTGTTATTCGCTACATAACAATGATACCATTGTTGTCATTCTGCTGCATGTAAAAGAAACTCCCTTCCCACGCAAAAAGCGTTGGTATTTACAAAAACTTGTTCACTAGCGGCAGCAAGACTTAATCAGACGCCGTTTATTCGTCACGCCGGGCGATTCTTCAGTCTCAAACAAAAACAGCCAAGAAACAGCATGCCGAGCAGGTGAAAAGAAAAGCGTTACCCGTACTTCTGTGCACCCTTTCTTCCTGCTTTGCCAAATGCTCCGCTTGATCTCGTTTCTGCCATCTAATTGAAAGCGCTTTCAAACGACCTCGTAAATCGAGGGGTAGGGATTTATAACGGATTGATGCTGGCGTCGGCAGTGGGGGGGACTTTAGGTCGGACCGGTGGCTCACGTTGGTGCTGCAGTCAGCCGCACAGGGTGGACTTTAGGTCGGGTCCGCTGTCCACGCTGTGGACAGGGTGGACTTACGTCGGGCCCGCTGTCCACACTGTGGGCATGGTGAGTTTAAGGTCGGGGCCGCTGTCCACGCTGTGGACAGGGTGGACTTAGGGTCGGGCCCGCTATCCACGCTGTGGACAGGGTGGACTTAAGGTCGGGCCCGCTATCCACGTTGTGGACAGGGTGGGTTTAGCGTCGAGCCCGCTGTCCACGCTGTGGACACAATGAGCTTAAGGTCGGGCCCGCTATCCACGCTGTGGACAGGGTGGACTTAAGGTCGGGCCCGCTATCCACGTTGTGGACAGGGTGGGTTTACCGTCGAGCCCGCTGTCCACGCTGTGGACATGGTGAGCTTAAGGTCGGGCTCGCATCCCACGCTGTGGACAGGGTGGACTTAAGGTCGGGCCCGCTATCCACGCTGTGGACAGGGTGGACTTAAGGTCGGGCTCGCAGCCCACGCTGCGCGGCTGCCGCTAGTTGCGCTTGCATCTGTATTGTCATTTGTGTTGGTTCACTTGGCCGAGAAATGTGAGAGCCATCCCACATTGTAAGTCCTCAGTGGTATTGTATTATTCGCCGGCACATGCACTAGCACTGGCGACTATTAATGCGCGAGTCAGGTTGGTAAAAATTATAAGATGATTAGGAGGGACTGGAAAAGGGAAGGCAAGAAGGAGGATGTCAGGAGGCAATGATGGAAGGATTTGATACGGGGAACACGGGTAGGTTTGGGAAATGTTTATACAGTCGTGGCCCATCAGCCATCATATGCACGAAGTTTAATACGTCAAGGATATGAGGCAAGGATATGTGGATCAAGATCGACAGGTCAGTGATATGTTGGTGACGGCGGGGAGCGAAAACAAACCAAGTAGGAATGAGGCAAAACGATTAATGAATGATGGCGAAATTATTATTATATCTAAGTTTTCCTGTCGGTTCTGCTGTGGGCGTTACTTCATGTTTTTAAATCATAAATAAATTTGTCCACTACAATATTCCCAGGTGTTATTCTGGGCACTATTCAATTCGCTTCCTATGGAATTTTGTAGCGCCAGATTCGTGCCTCAGTCATTTTGTACAGGATATTTTAACAAAACGTCTCCTCAAACTGTATCGAAAAACGGTGCTTCAGCGTCCTATAGATGACGTGTGCTTATCAGTTATTGTGTTGAATGTTGCATTTCGAATGGTTTTCTCCAAATGCGCCAGGTTCTGTAACACAAATCTAATCATGAATTTGCAGCATCTTCTTGAACCTTTTCTTCGGCCATGATTATCACACGTCAAAATCTTCACCAAAAATCTTTTGAATTCAATTGATTGCAAAATTTGCACTGTGCTGCCCCGGCCTTTAACACGCGCTCGGGTGGGGGGTCAAATTGCCCCCCACCCCCCGACGGTTTTCCGGAATGATTTCCGAACGGCGAGGTGTAGTCGCGCCAAATTTTGCATAGCTGTAGACAATTGAATTGCGAATCGCCAGACATCAACAATTTAGATGCATCTTGTAAGGTCGTTGACCTATGGCAGGTAAAAGTCGGCCCATGGTTTCAGTAAAGACAATTTCTAGGGAATCGTTCGATCTGATCGAACAACGGAGTGCTGGACGAAGCCATACATCCTTGGGATACTTCCTTAGGCAATATAACAATTGAATGAGCAAAGTAAGTTGACCTAGTATCAGGTATAACGGTCAGACCAAGGTCAGAACCAACCTGTTTTATTACTCCAGGGCTTGGTGTGTGGGGTATTTTCTGGCGCCCATTTCAAATTTATTCATGACAGGAACCGCATTATACACCTTCCATGGAGTTCTTAAAGGTCACAGTGGGTCACTGACCTAAATGACCCAGGTTAACATCTCGTTTTTAGGAACGCACTGCCTAGCATAACCTTAGACGCCTGTTCAAATGCAAAACTCATTGCAGTTTTGTATGGTTTTGATCACCCTGATCTTCCAAAGGTCAAACAAGACAACTGACCTTGCATGAGTATATGGCCTTTTGCTCAGAGCAGTTATCTAGGTTCCAGGGGCCCTTTGGAGACCAGCCTTGAATTTGACCTTATTTTACCTTATTTGAACCGAAGGTCATAATCTAGGAACTTCAAGCTTTACCCCAAGTGAGCTAACGTACAGGTTGACACATTCGGTGAATTTGGTGTCGCTAGCTTTCTTAGTCCCTGAGATCTCGGCGGGAGGTCAAATTGACCCCCACCCGAGCGAAGGGTATTCAACCTGCCACCCGAGCGCGTGTTACACATTTCTTGACTCCAAGTATCCAATAGTTGAATTTTAGTTGGCCCAAAACACTTCACACCAACAATATAAAAGCAGAGCTGTCGAGCGGCCCCAGCCGGCTGGACTGTCAGTCAACGGATCGACAAATCGACGGAGTTTGCTACACATTGACTCAGACACACGAAGTGTGGTGAATAACTGACCCTGTATTTTCCCAGGTTGTGTACAGAGCAGTGCAGGGTGACGTCTTTCCCTACTGGAGCGGTGACGTTGCCGATCCACTTGACAAACGACGGGAGGCTCATCTCGTCCTCGGCGACGGCCAGGTCATTATCCACTGCATTGTACTCGATCTCTGAAAACAGGCATACACTCGGTTCAGCGCCCGCGGTCGAAGTGCGTTGGCCACCGCTGACTTCCCTGTGCATGCGGCTGCGCAGTGACCTTTGCAGTATTTGGAGTCCCAGCCCAGCAAGTCAAGTGGCCGTTCGTGGTGGTCGCGAGCAGGCCAGGACGCGCGGTCGCGATGGTCGCTAGTATGCCAAGATGGGCGTTCGGGGTGGGCGAGAACGGGCCAGGGCGTGCGTTCGGGGAAGGCGAGAAGAAGCCATGACGGGAGGTCGGGGTAAGCGAGAGCAGGCTAGAACGAGCGGTTGGGGTGCGCGAGAGGAAACCAGGATGGGTAGTCGGGGTGGGCGAGAGGAACCAGGATGGGCAGTCGGGGTGGGCGAGAGGAACCAGGATGGGTAGTCGGGGTGGGCGAGAGGAACCAGGATGGGTAGTCGGGGTGGGCGAGAGGAAGCCAGGATGAGTGGTCGGGGTGGGCGAGAGGAACCAGGATGGGTAGTCGGGGTGGGTGAGAGCGGGCCAGAACGAGCAGTTGGGGTGAGCGAGAGGAAGCCAGGATGGGCGGTCGGGATGAGCGAGAGAAGCCAGGATGGGTAGTCGGGGTGGGTGAGAGCGAGCCAGAACGAGCAGTTGGAGTGAGCGAGAGGAAGCCAGGATGGGCGGTCGGGATGGGCGAGGGAAGCCAGGATGGTTGGTCGGGGTGGGCGATAGCGCGCCAGAACGAGCAGTTGGGGTGAGCGAGAGGAAGCCAGGATGAGTCGTCGGGGTGGACGAGAACAAGTCAGAATGAGCGCCCGGGGTGGGCAAGAGCATGCCAGCAGTGGCACGAGCTGACGGAGTGGCACGGTCGCCTCTCCGTTCTACCACCTGGAGATGGAAAGATCCTCCTAGATGCGTGGTTACCGCGAGAGAGATGTGAACATGATCTGGAAGGGGTCTGGCGGGAGTGCTATATTGGTGGTTGCTCATTTATTTAAAAGAAGCAATCGTCTAGCTAGCCATCTGGCGCTCATGGTGCGAATAGGGTCACTCGAGGGTGGGTCTCCTCGCTGGCTGCGCTACGAGCAGCAACTTCGACCATTTTCAGTACAGCGCTGCTATACGGAGGCAGTATTCAGTGGACGCCTTCGATATGAGACGAGATCACACTCGAACTAACAAATGCAAGCATATAACAATAAATTTTGTCAGACGTCGAGTCGGCGAGATGTCAGACGTTGAATGTCAGGGATGTCAGTTGGTTCGCTCCGGTAGCTCAGTTGGTTACAGCGTCTGCCTTCCAATTCACCCTTCCGTATTTGGGTGGACTTGACCGTTGGGCCCTTGCTAACTCCCCTGACGGGGATGCCCTGCGGCTGGTGGCAGCGGTTGCAGTGAAGGCAAGGTGACGTCGAGAGCAGAACGGATCGTGCCAGACATTCCGGCACGTTGAGCTTTCGCGACAACATCCTGTCCTTGAGCTGTACTTGCACAATCGGATGATGGGAGCAGGCCACACGCAACAGCCAGTCATTAGCTTGGACTCTGATTCCAAAAATTTATCCTATCAATAGGCTTGAGCAAAACTCCGAAAAAGAGGTTAACAACGGGATCCGCATACGTGAAATACGCATCCCTTCGACCGTAGCTAAATATATGTTTACGATAACTCCTATCTTAATGTCATCCTTGACAAGTTTACCGCTTCCGTAGAGCCGAAGCCTTCTTCATGCGTACCAGTACGCACATGCTGTGGACGCTCTCTCACATCGAAATGGTATGTTGAAAGGCATGTTCGGACCTACGCATGCCTCAATAAGCAAAGATACATATTAGATAAAGATAAAGATAAAAATACAGATGCAGTTTGATGAAGACAATTGGCGGGGTCAAGGGAGCTTTTTGGGGCAGGGAACAGATGCATTGTCATTACGGCTACATGCCTTTATCAAAACGATTACGAGAAATAAATTCAAAATTCAAACAGCTCAGTTAAAAAATCGAACAGCTACAGTTCGTCCTACACAGAGCACAGGAACATACGGATAGAAAAAAACGATTTCATTTTTTTTTTAGAAGGCACCAATCAAGCTTCGTACAGAGCCCATCATCGTTGATTATGTGAATGTGATCAGTGCCTTAATGCGTGATGCGTGCTAGCTTGACTGATGCGTGATGCGTGATGCTTGTTTTCGTGAAATCGCTTGCATGTGTGAATGATATGTGATGCGTGATATCTGCTTATCTTATTCGTTTGCATGCACATATATTTTTCACCTTGTTTGAATCCAGGGTTAGATATACACCGCATTGTAATAATGACTATCAACCTGCTCCTTGCTTAATCCTCTGAATGTTGGTGGCTTGTAAATACTGTGGTTTGCTATGGAAAAAAACTGCAAATCGAGTGAGATCGGCAGGTAATTTTGAATTTTGAATTCACAACCCATATCGTTCGGATAAAGGCATGTGTCCGAGATATTAATGCACCCATCTCTCCTTTGTCCTGTTCACTTGACGAGGAAGAAGGCAAAAAGTATTGTATGATCTATTGTCCTTTTTCCCATTTTCCCCATACCATGGTTCCAGGTTGCGTAGTTATTGAAACATCAGGGGCCTCCATGAGCTTCCTGGTGGGCGAAGGTGAAAAAGGCTCCCTCAGGCAAGGTTTAACATATACCTGCGTGAGGGCGCATCACTTCCATCACTCCCTGCCTTCTTTTCAAAATAGCTTCCGAATGTTGCGAGGTACCCATGTCAAACATTGCGTAGCAGTAAGGAGTTAGTTGTCCATCTTTTGGTATAAAAGTAAGTTTGCTGCATAAGGTCGCTAACCTGTTGCAGGTGAAAGTCAGATCATGGCTGTCAGTAGAGGCAATTCTTTGGTAATATTTCAGGCCGTTGTGACAAGGTGAATTAGGAGATATACAAATTTGAGGGGTACTTAGACGATTGGACACTGAAAATTAGGATCACAACTCATTCCTGTGATCACTCAGATCAAGGTCAGAGCCAGGCAGCTTCAATTGAAAATTTGTTGTAAGGGGTAGACTTATGTAAGGATTTAGTCGGAAACTGGGTTGAGTCTTGACCCTGAATACTGCCCTGCACAACATCTAATCCGGGCATCCAGTGCACGCATGCGTCGAGGATCGAGCATTGCACAAACATTGCCCAACATTCAATTCGAGTGTTTTTATCGTCCGGCAAGGCAAAAGAAACACCACTATTAGCTAAATATGACATCCTGTCATTACCTTCACTTATTACCTTGAATTAAAGCGTGCTTGGAGCCATTCAGTCCTAGAGTCTGAGATTCCGTATTGCCGCGAACGGTTTGGGTGAGGGATCTTTGTTTTAACGCTCATGGCTAATTTAGTTTGGCTAGTGGATCTTTGTTTAACACTGGTCTGTTGTTTAACGAGTGCAAACCCTGCATTCCCTGCGGTAGCTGAAGATAGCACCATGCGCCACGTTCCCTAAATGGGACAAGCCGCATGCCCCAAGTGACGCTACGTATCGTCGTTCGACGGTGACGGTACGTTTTACAGTCCAGCAGCGATGGTGATGAAAGACGCCATTTCCCGCGGCTGCCTGCTGTCGACAGACACCTTGGTCCTTGGCTCCTCGGCACGATTGGACGCGCACTGAAACGTTTACAGAGTTTGGCCGGGCGGCAGCGGCACCGCGGCGATCAGCGTATTCGCAATCGGCCCGTAACGCGGCTCGTTTGGCGTCAGCCAATCAGTGACGCGCGGGCCCGCGGCGGGCTGCCTGGGACGCGTCGCGCACGCCCCCGTCCGCGCGACCTGCGCCCCGCGGGCCGGCGTCCGGGCGCCAGGCTGCGGCGCTGCGGGAGCACGTCCGGGACGCGGGAGCCGGGCTGCGGCGCCGCGGGAGCACGACCGGGACGCGGGAGCCGGACTGCGGCGCCGAGGGAGCACGTCCGGGACGCGGGAGCCGGGCTGCGGCCCCGCGGGGGCACGTCCGGGGCGCGGGAGCCGGGCTGCGGCGCCGCGGGAGCACGTCCGGGACGCCGGGGGACGTCCGGGAGCCGGGCTGCGGCCCCGCGGGGGCACGTCCGGGGCGCGGGAGCCGGGCTGCGGCGCCGCGGGAGCACGTCCAGGACGCGCCGGCGCGCTGACCGGCGCCAGCGCGGCCGTCGTCTCCCGCCAGGCACGGGTCGGAGCAGACCGTCGTCTCCCGCCAGACACGGGTCGGAGCAGACCGTCGGCTCCGCCGCTCACGCACAAGTGGCAGGCATGATCAGGGCCGGATACTGAGCACAATGGTGTGCGGTGTGCATTGAAGGCGTTCCAGCATTCTACATTACCTCACTGACGTTTGCTTAAAACCTGCATGTCACATTGCCTGGTTGAATCAAACTCTGCTGGAAGTAAACATGCGCCCGGGTGGCCAGGTTCAATGCCCTTCGTTCGGGTGGGAATTCAGTTCAACCCCCCTGAGATCTCAAAAGTTAAGAGAGCAAGAGACACCGAATCCACAGGATGTATTGGCCTTTACGTGAACTCATTTGGCATCAAAACCTAGGGTAACTAGACCATGACCTTCGGGTCAAAAAGGTTAAACGGGGTCAAACCCCAGGTTGGTGTCCAAAGTGCCCTCAGAACCTAAATACCTGTTCTAAGAACATGATGGCCAAAATCATACAAGACTGCTTTGAATTTTTCATTTAAATACGCGTTAAAGATTACGCTAGACAGTATGCTCCTAAAACAAAACGCTTACCTGGGTCATATTAAGCCAGTGGCCTGCTCTGAGCTTTAAAAAGTCCATGAAAGGTGTATAATGCGGTTCCTGTTATCAATCCATTCGAAATGAGTATCAGAAGCTACTCCGTACAGCAAGCTCTAGAGTAATAAAACAGGTTGGTTTTGACCTTGGTCTGATCCTCATAGCTGATGCTAGGCCAATTGAATTCGTTCATTATATTGTTGTGCGTCCTAAGAATTTATTTCAAAGATGTATTGCTTCGTCTAACACTACGTTGTTGCATCACATTGCACG